TGAATGACACCAAGCTGGGTGGTGTGTCTGATATACTGGAAGGCAGGGATGGCATCCAAAGGGACCTGGACAGGCTTGAGGGCTGGGCCCATGCCAACCTCATGGAGTTCAACAAGGCCAAGTGCAAGGTCCTGCACCTGGGCAGGAGTGATCCCAAGCACAGATACAGGCTGGGTGGAGAATGGCTCAGAGCAGTCCTGAGGAGAAGGACTTGGGGGTGTCAGTCGATGAAAAACTCAACATGAGCCAGCAATGTGCACTCACAGCCCAGAAGGCCAACTGCATCCTGGGCTGCATCAAGAGAAGTGTGGCCAGCAGGGCAAGGGAGGTGATTCTGCCCCTCTGCTCTGCTCTGGTGAGACCCCACCTGGGGCACTGCATCCAGTTCTGGGGCCCCCAACATAAGAAGGACATGGAGCTGTTGGAGCGGGTCCAGAGGAGGCCACAAAGATGACCAGAGGGCTGAAGCACCTCCCCTACAAGGACTGGCTGAGAGTGTTGGGGCTGTTCAGCCTGGAGAAGAGAAGGCTCTAGGGAGACATTATTGCAGCCTTCCAGTTCCTGAAGGGGCCTTACAGGAAAGCTGGGGAGGGACTTTTTACAAGGGCAGGTAGCGATAGAATGAGGGGGAATGGTTTTAAACTGGAAGGGGGTAGATTTAGATGAGATATTAGGAGGAGATTCTTCACTATGAGGATGGTGAGACACTGGAACAGGTTGCTCAGGGAAGCTCTGGATGCTCCCTCCCCGGCAGTGTTCAAGGCCAGGTTGGATGGGGCTTTGAGCAACCTGGGCTGATGGGAGGTGTCCCTGCCCATGGCAGGGGGGTTGGACTGGATGATCTTTAAGGTCCCTTCCAACCCAAACCATTCTATGATTCTATGAAACAATGTACAGTGTATGGCTGGAAACCCATACAATAGAAGAAGTGATGAAGTGTAACAGGCAAAATTTAGGAAAGTGAAGCACATACTTAAACTTAAATGATCAACTGAATTTGAGATACCTAGGGTATTCTTTCTCATCTCAAGCTGCATTTCAGAAGCATGGGATTCTGTTGATCTTGTGTTATGCATCTAGCCCTTTCCAGTTATTTTGGATACCAGTGTCATTAGATATTGTCATATTTCCCTGGTTTACTGGGACAGAATTTTGGAGTCATTTTTCTGTTGAGGATATCTGCAATTTTGTAAGGACTAAACACACTATTTCATGGGAATAAAGTGATAAGAGTTACAAAGAAATAGTTCTGGTGAACACTGAATCAGAAGAATCCCTTTTAAATGAAGGCTGAAAATAATTTTGTCTAATGCCAATGGTTTTCAGTCCAAACAATTGACTGTACATGAATAGCTGGAGATGTTGCATTTATGTTCATCTGCACATCAGGAAATTTTCATGTTTATTAATACTCCCTCACTGTCTGTAAAGATGATGGTTCTGAAGAAGGCTTTTGCTACAGTTCACTTGATGAACAGTGAATTCATCCTGGTGGATTTTCCAATATTGTTGAGCTGAAGATCTCTCTTCCTATATTTTCTGGACATTCATTTTTTGGAGAATGCCCTCATTTATTTTTTTTAAATTTTTTAAAGAAAACACAAATGCACACATCAATTTATTTCTTCTGGGCAAGATTGATCTTTGAAAGTTGTTGCATCACTGGTGTTATTCCAGATTTGTTGATTCACCTGATTGTGAAGCATAAAATTACTTCCAATCTTGCCAAGCAGCACTAATCCTGGTAGTCAGAAGGTGATGCTCTCTAGAAGCCATGGCTTATGGCTGCTGTGTCGCCATATGCTGTCAAAAGGACTACAGAGCCATCGTGAATTTAGGAAGCACAATTCTGACATCCATTTGTCACAGAATCACAGAATTGCTCGGTTGGAAAAGCCCTCTGAGATCATCACGTCCAACCGCTCCTGTCTACCCCCTAAACCATATCCCTAAGTACCTCATCTACCCGCTCTTTAAACACATCCAGGGATGGTGACTCCACCACCTCCCTGGGCAGCCTGTTCCAGCTTCTGACGACCCTCTCAGTAAAGAACTTCCTCCTTATCTCTAACCTGAACCTCCCTTGGCACAGCTTGGTGCCGTTTCCCCTTGTTCTATCCTCCATCACCTGGGAGAAAAGACCAGCACCCACCTCTCTACGACCTCCCTTGAGGCAGTTGGAGGTGGTGATGAGGTCTCCCCTCAGCCTTCTCTTCTCCAGGCTAAACAAGCCCAGTTCCCTCAGCCGCTCCTCATCAGGCTTGTTCTCCAGAGCCCTCCCCATCCTCGTGGCTCTTCTCTGAACACGCTTCAAAATCTCAAAATCCTTCTTCTAGTGAGAGGCCCAGAACTGAACACAGGACTCGAGGTGCGGCCTCACCAGTGCCGAGTACAGGGGGATGATCACCTCCCTGGCCCTGCTGGTCACACTGTTTTTAATACAGGCCAAGATGCCGTTGGCATTTCTTACATCATTGGCATTTTCATTAGAAGTGGCACAGAGCATTGAGGGAACGCTCTTCAGCCTGCCTCCAGATTGCCCATTTTTTCTGGGATTTCTCTCTTGTGCTGAAGTTGACACGCACACAGACATATCCAAGAATGGAACTATGCTTTTCACTGTGTCTGCAAAGCTCATTATTAGTCCTTTTCTGTTGATTGTCCTGTCCTGCATCCTTATTATGTCAACCATTTTCAAACTGCCATCTCTAGAAGGGATGTGCAAAACCTCCTCACCATGCGAAGCTTCATGGAGGTGTCGAGCTGGATATCACACACTTTGAAGAACAAACAGGTCAAAGAGACTTTTAGAAAACAGTAGAAAGGTTTCTTTCATGCAATACAGGAAATCAGAAAGACCCAGTTTGTTGACAGATCTACAATTGTTTGGAGACTAAGTGATACTGACAAACTTTTGAACATTTTTTTTCCTTTAACTGTAAATACTAAAATCACCTTTAAAATCATGTCTAATTGTTCTCAGAAGTACTCTTTCTCACCAAGTTTATAGCTTTTCTTGGAAGGATATGTGAAGAAGGCTAGAACAACATTGCTTCCAAAACAAAGAAAAAATAGGGGAGAAAGTAAAGACAATTAAACTGGACCACGAAAAGGAATTCACATATTTTCTTCACTTTCCAGTAGTTTTATTTTCTTACCTTTCCCTTTGGTATAACAACTGAAAACTAATAATGTAAAAACCCTTAAAAAATTATACTTTTATTTTTCTCTTAGAAAAGTTCAAAACAAATAAAAATTTTTCAAAAGTGGCAGAAAGGATACCACTAAAAAGTGATTTTGAGGATACAGAAGTTTATTTAGGATACTGATAGACCTATACTAATTTCTTATATCTCAGTTCATGTTTTATATTTGAATTGTTATCTAACTCATCATATGACTTATTCTAAAGGTCTAGTTTTTAACGACTCAAATCACTGTATTATTGAACACAGTATTATTTTTTCCTATATACCTGATTATCCCTTGATTTACTATAATAAGAGCTAAGAGAGCTATCTCACATGTAGACATTTGCTTTTTGATGTCTCTGTCTGGAGCTGAATGACAATAATAAAGATAAATCTTCTCCTAGACTTTTTATACTAAATAGAGGTGAGTAGAAACTTCTAGGATGTGATTTATATCACCCTAAGAAACACTCGTGAAACAGGTCATACGATATTTTCCTTGGAACATCTGAGGTTTTTTCTTTGCTGAACAGAATGAATACAAAGACTTTATAGAAACATTGTATATTTCTACATTTGATATCTGAATTTATTCCATGAATCCCACTCTCTGTGTTTTCAGTAAGAAATTTACCTTTTCCGTTTCTTCTTCATCATTGTTCTTCAAATGGTTTTCACAGCCTTATTTCTCCATCTGCAAATAATGGGATTTAACTTGGGGGTTATGACTGTGTACACCGAAGCCAGCACTTTTTAAGCATTTTGTGGATAGCTGTGGTTGTGTCTTGGGTAGATCAGGCTGCCACTTCCATAGTACAGCGTCACCACTAAGAGATAGGATAAACAGGTGCAGAAGGTTTTGTATCTTCCTTTTTCAAAGGGCATGGTCAAAATCCTGGAGATAAGAAGTAGGACACAATGATGAGAAAATAGGGTGAAAATTACCAACACTGTGGTTGTTGTGTCCTGAATCTCAGAGATGTTTCAGTGCACAGAAGTATAGTAAGTGGTGAGATATTTCAGAAGGTATCATTTATCCTTTTAGGGCAACAAAGTGGAAATGTGAACACCCAAGCAGTTTGCACCACTGACACGTTACCAGTGAAGAAAGACAGCAGGACTGGGGAAAACTAAACTCTTCTGTTCATCATAATTGTGTATCTCAAGGGGTTGTCAATGGCCACGTAATGGTCACAGGCTGTTGCAACAAGATGATAGCACTCAGCAGCTGCTAGAAAAAAATCGGGAAGTATAGCTGGACAGCATAGACTACATAGGAAATATTCTTCTCCTGTGACAGAAAATTCACTAACATCTCGGGTACATTGACTGAAGTAGCAAAAATATCTATGAAGGAGAGGACCCTGAGAAAAAAGTACATGGGTCTATCAAAGGATGAGTGAACTGTGACAAGGATGATAATGCTGTTCCAAATGACAGTAAATAGTGCAAATCAGGAGAAACATGGAGAAAAACAAGATCTGCCCTTCAGTATGTCTGAAGAGGTCTTTCCTGGTACTTCAGCTGTTCACAACGGAAACTGAATTCAAATACAGAGTTACTTCTCTGTGTATTTGTCTCGTTCTTCTTTCAAAGTAAGCTATGCTATAGATGGCATTGGTATATATACTCACATGTGATTAATAATATATATCCAGTGATATCTCAGTATCTCTGTAGGCAATTTTATGACGAGATAGATCCAATTACATTTAGGATGACATTGCATGCCTACCTAGAAAGTAAATCCTGCATTCCAAGTCGTTATGGTAGACACATCTACATAGATGTCTGTATTTAGACTTCCTAAATATGAACAAATTTCTGCATCTTTAACATTTACATGTGTAAACTGAAGGAAGTTTTCTTTAAAAAGAAGTATCATTCTCAGAATGTCTCTTTTTATTCAAAATAGAACTGCAGAATTCCCAAGCATTTCAGCAAATAACACTCCTACCTAGTCTCTACCAACACTTGTTGTTCAGTACAAACCACGACAGGTATGGTTTCTGTTTTGTTCTTTATTCCCCTGATCTCATTTCAGACTCGTTCTACTACATACAATTATACATATAAATTAGCATCTGGAGATAATTAGAGATAACAAGCTTCCTCTCCCCTTTCATGTCTTTAATTGGTAGAGGACTTTATTAGCTCAGACCTTTTAGTACACAAGAAGCTTTCCCTGAGACCTTCAAAGGACAACATTTCATTTAAGGTTCCGTGAAAAAAGTGTATCTGATCCACGGCTCTTTACAAGAGTTTAAAGGCCACATGCATACCTGGATATCCGTAATTGGTAAGTCTTAACGCTTTCTTACAGGAGCAGATTAGTAAATCAGGAAATCACATACACATTATGGTGTAAATTATTGGGCTGAACGTTTCAAAAAGCAATTATTATTGTTTATCGCAACCCATACATTTTCATCATATAAACTGCCAGAAATATTAGTGAGGGATTATACTTGCGAGTCAAAAATAACCCCAAAATGCATTAAGTCTTTCCATTAAATTTTCTCTCTCGGGAAAGAAGCAAGTTTTTTCTTGCCTTAACATTCCTTGCCTTGCTTTTGATATTCTGTATGTGCTTTGTAAATACAAAAAATATACACGGGTGTGTATTGCATCAGTGTCTATTTTTTTTGACAAACAGCTCTTCAAGTTGGAGACGTAGAGTGCTTTTCATTAAGCACGTAAGACATGAGTAGTAAAGACAGATTGGAAGGAATACTGTAGGGGCTGAATGAGAGAGTAGGTGCCTGATGATCTCTTGTGCCGTTTTACTCTTCACTGAGCTTTAGAGAGTTGCTGCCATTCTCTGCGGAGAATGCTTTTTTGCTCAGGATTTTCTTTGCATCATGGAACTTGCCTAGGACGTTTTCTGTGGAAAGGATTTTTTTTCCTTTTGGATGGACAAAAGGTATGAAAAAATATCCTGCTTGCCATTGCCTGGAAGTCTTCTGTTTTCATATTTAGAGAAAGAAACTGCCAAAGCTTGTACCTGATCTCCAGTCAAATGTGTCATCCCTTAATTAGTCAAAAAACCAAATATGTTCAGGTAGGTGATGAAAGAAAAGAACTAATGTGGATGTTACTCTTCTGAAAATATCAATGCATCTTTTGTACCGACATCTTCCTCTCATGCATACATGAATATGCATATATTAACGAGCTGTAAAATCTAACAGTAAGTAGATTGGAATAGAGTATGCTTATGTGTTCATTACTTGCTCTCTTTTCCCTTAAAAAAAAGTGGTAGGAACAAACCTCACCTCCCTCCATATTGAATCATTTACAGTACAGTCAATAACTTCAAGGTCAGTCAAGGCTCACTAAAATGTCCATGAAGAGAAATAAGCTTTTCTAGATTGCAAATACGTAATGTGGTTTGGAAAGAGATATGTCTAAAGACAATGTTATACTCTGGGCTACCAACGCCCAATTACTGCCCTAAGGAGATATCCGTTGATTATAAAAGGACTCTAGAGCAAAACAGTTAATAGAAACATGCAGTATCTATTTTGAGTTATTGAAGTTAGACCATCTACTAGATAGATGTCGAAATCAGAGCAGAGCACAAATTGAAAATGAGAAAGAACTATCCTTCTCTTTCAAAGATAGGTGTTTAATACAGGTTAGATGAATCACCCACTCAAGGAGCCACTATTTAGATCCACTAAAAATTTCTTGCTTAAACATAATCTCTTAAAATCTGTAGCTTGCAGAGTCGCAATCACTATAGCAGTCTCTTCCAACAAATCTTATTGCTGTTACTGAAAGCCATAGAGATGACTAACTTCCTAGTAGGAATTAAGGAAGTCCAACATCTTCAGAAGTGCATGTTCAATTAGTATTACATCTATGGCTTTTTATCCTTTTTTATCTATATACTGTGAGAAATTTTGTGGTGCTGTTTTCAGCAACGTGAATGTCAGCAGCCACAGTCTCTGTGTTCCTCCATACTCTATCCCACAGGAAAACTGTGTGCATCACAGGGGTTGTTTGGAGCTTTTTTGCTAAGTTTTGAGTTGTTTTTCCAGTGTTGCTCTTGAAAGCAAACTAACAAGTCATCAGAAACAAAGACATGTCTCTCTCTTCCTTTCTTGTAAAAAATGTTGGATCTACTTTGTAAAAAGTTTCCACATGAAATAGTTTACTAAGTGCCCTATTTCTTCATACAAACTTGCTTTTGTGTAACTTTTACATTTGCTTTTTCTTCTGCTTTGACACTTGCAGGGATAGCTGTGGACACTCAATATGGAATGAAGAACCAAACTGCTATCAATGAGTTCATTCTTCTGGGATTTTCCTATGGGCTACAGGTCCAGACCTTACTTTACCTGGTCCTTCTGGTCACTTACGTGGTAACAATCACAGAAAATGTAATCATCATCTTTGTGGTGAAAAGCAACCATCAACTCCAAAAGCCCATGTATTATTTCCTGGGGAACTTGTCCTTCCTGGAAATTTGGTATGTCACAGTAACATTGCCTAGATACTTGTGTGGGTTCTGGTCCCAGAGCATGACCATCTCATTCTCCAGCTGCATGACCCAGTTATATTTCTTTATCTCCCTTATATGCACTGAATGTGTCCTCCTGGCTGTCATGGCCTATGACCGCTACTTGGCTGTGTGCCACCCCCTGCGCTACCCGGCCATCATGACCCACAACTCGTGCTTTCAGCTGTCAATTCTCGCATGGGTGGGAGGCTTTTCCATTTCCTTGGTCAAGGTGTCTTTTATTTCACGCCTCACATTTTGTGGTCCACAAATCATAAACCACTTCTTTTGTGACATCTCTCCAGTCCTGAACCTTTCCTGCACTGACACGTCCCTTGCGGAGGCAGTGGACTTTGCATTAGCCTTGGTGATACTGCTGGTACCTCTCTTGATCATTGTTTTCTCCTATTGCTGTATCTTGTCAACTATCTTGCATATGCCTTCAGCCCACGGAAGGAACAAAGCCTTTTCCACTTGTACCTCCCATTTCACTGTAGTCATCATTTTCTTCTCTTCCACTCTCTTCATGTATGCCAGGCCCAGGAGGATCCAGCCATTCAACCTCAATAAAACAGTGTCTGTCTTTTATGCTGTATTCACTCCAGCACTGAACCCTCTAATCTATTGTCTGAGGAATAAGGAGGTGAAAGAGATTTTGAGAAAGATGATAAGCACAAGCTGTTCTGCGCACTGATAAGTTCCTAGGCTATGGTTAAAGAGGAACAATGACAGCAGTGCAAAGTTTCCTTCTTGAAATACAGTTGAGTAAGATCACTACAACTTGCTCATTGCTGGTGCAGTCATCACTGTCTCATTGCACTGAGAGTCTGACCAGAAAGAGATCACATAATTGTTTCTATGTGGAAATGTCTCCTCACTCATGAGGGTACTTTGATGACTGAGCTACACCTGGCTGTAAATTAATGTACTACAATAGCGATATAATAGGTCATACGAAAGCCTGGCTGACGAGTAATTTCCTTTTGAAAATACTAAAAGTGAGATTTATAATTTTCAAAGCCACGTAGGAATCTTGGATATAATTGAAAATCAGTTGGCCAAATCCCTACAGGCAGTTAAAGAGCTAAAACTTCTGTTGAAGAAATAGACTGCTTTTGTTATTCTACCAAAATGTTACTGTACACAGAAAATATTATTCTTGCCGTATCTGCGCTTTTTGTATAGCAACCTCACACTTTCACATGACCTCATTTCACCTGAGATTAAATCGGCCCAGGCACATACTTTTCTGCACGTACAGCTTGGTCTTGAGGCCTTTGTTGTGCTGTGCATATACATTGGCTTCAGGATAAACTTTGCCAGTTGAATTTCACAGAACAGCCTGCAATCAGCTCCCACTTGGTACCTATGATTACTTTACTTGTGTGTCTTTGTCTTTACCTAAAAATGCAGCAAGAACTTCTTGCGTGAACATTCTTTCTGTTTGACAGTAGAAATGCTGGATAGAATTGTTCCCTTTAAAAAATAATAGCTTGAGTGACCAAAAGTAGGTAACATTTCCGCAGACGGACCTGCACAGCATACTGTGCCCGATCAGAGGTCTGTTTTACGCTGCACAACTCAGAATTCCAAGCATCTGCAACGGCATTGGATTATCTGTATCATCTGGTTTTTCTTTATAGTATTAGGTCCAATAAATGGCATTTCAAGTGATACTTTACAGAGTCTGAGTTCCTTTCTTACTGGTACCATAACAAACCGGCACCTCCAGGTGCAAAATACAGGGCTTGAAGCAATTGCATTCCCATCAGTGCTAGGAGAGGACTCATATGGACCAGAATCAGTGTGAGATTCAGTGTGCAGTGTGCACAAGTATGGAATTAGGGCTCCAGCGTCACTATGAGCTATACATAAAAGAGTAATAATGATGTCTCCTACCTGTAATGCAGCAGTCGTGCTACTTTTCTCAAGTTTGTTTTGACTGGCTTCTTCTTTCACACATTTCAGCGAGTAAAAAGAGATCTTATGGGAATTTATTGAGCATCTAGTCCTTAGTTCTAGATTGGTATTATCTGACTTCACACCTTTCCTAGGCTGATGTAGAACACTTACCAAAAGGGTCTAAAATTACTAGTTCAGTCAAAGACATCTACCCAAAGATAACAATTGATCTTATTCAGAATGAAGTGGACAAAATGTTGTGGAACCTCACAAAACCAAGTCAGATCAACTAACAAACTAGAAATAGAATTTATTTTTTACAAGATGGCAACTAACTCAAACCAAGTTT